CATCTACAACATTTATTAATTTGATTTCAAAAAATATTTTTATCCTGGTTTACATGCATTTGTGTAATGCACATAGTGGTGACTGCACAATTGTTTAAAATGAAGTCTTACTTTTGTATATTGTTGGGGAGAATGGAGGTGGTTATAGGTTTGTGGGGGGCTGTGGATGTGTGGGTATGTGGGGTTTGGGTAGGGTGTGGGTGTGTCTGTGGGGGGTGAATAGGCATGGAGGGCATGAGTGGAGTGAGGGAGCATGTGTGTGTGTGTGTGTGTGTGTGTGTGTGTAAGTATGTGGGGTGTGGGTGGGTATAGGGTTTTGCGGGGATATGTGTGAGGGGAGGGTGGCTGGGGTGTATGAGCAGGTGTGGGGTCTGCATGTATGGCAGTGCTGGGGATGTGTAGGTGCATGTGTATAGCTGGGTGTGCATGGGCAACTCACCCTACGAACACATACACACACTCTGCCCCTGCCTACACACATACACACAAGCTGGGGTACTGGCATGGGCCCTGTGATCCATCGTTCAGTGATGCAGCTGGGAGCCACGTGGTGCTGGAGCAATGCAGGGGCAGGAAGGCAGGGAAATGGCTGAAGATGGTGCAGGGCTGGGATGCTCGATCTTGCTTCCAACTCCATCTGGGTCCTACTGCCCCTGAACTCCTGTCATCTTTGACAGGCAGCCAGGACCAAATAAATATTAATTTTCTAAATTTTTTAGGGGCCCCATGGGCTAGATCCAGATCCCAGGCTGTATTTTGCCCACCCCTGACCTACAAGGTTTAGTGGGGTCCGTTAGGACCATGACTGAGCTGAAGCTTGAGGGCAGCTTCCCTATCTATTATCTTTTCCAACAAAACGTGGCAGCAGGTGAGAAGAGAAGGCATCTGCAGGGCGGAGCTGGCATGGTCACAAGGCCCTAGGGGTATCACGGCCATCTCTAGGGACCCTACTCCATGACCTAGTGCAGTTTCCCAGAAACCCCTGCATCTTGAAACCTGTCAGGATTCATGCCTTCAGAAGGGGCTACCATTCCTGCAATTTTCATCAGAATCAGGCAAAAAAATGACAAACTTATAGGCATTTTAGGCATTGGCATTTTAGTCACTCCCCATGATAGCCTATGGCCAAAACAGTGCCAAAACTCAAAAAAAAAAAAGTGATTCAAAATGCTGAAATGAATTGCTGTTGCTTTGAAATGCTGAATCTGAAACAGATGAAACGCAGACGTTTCGCACAGCCCTACTGTCCTCCTACCCCATTAGGCAAGGTCGATGATTGCTGTTGACTATCCCTCAAGAGTGTAAGGACTGTTGGGGTTCAGCCTGCTTTTCTTATTTGTAACTCTTTATATTTGATGTATATCATGAATAACCCTGAATGCTTGAAATAAAAGGAGTTGCTGCCTGCAGGTCCACTTTTGCCCCAACTACAGTTAATCCAAGCCCAGGAGAGCATATAAGGGAATACCTAAATGAGGTTATGGAGGAACTGAGTTTTATTTTGACTCTGCAGTTGACTCCCTTTTGGCAAGTCACTTCACTGCTTTATGCTGCCTCCTCTCTACTCTAATAGTCAATAGTCTAATGATATTTTTTTCAATTCACTAGGGTGTCTTGAGGCTTATTTAATGTGTGGAATGTTCTCAGATATCTGGTCTTAGACTCAAAAAGAGTAATATGTTAATGCATCATTAAAAGACAAAAACTGTGACCAGTTTTATTTCATGAGTTAAACCAAAAGCCTTTGCCATAAAAATGCTCTTTAGCATGATCTTTCCTGTGTATCACCTGTCTAGAGACAGTTGCTAAGGAGGCCTTTTGATGTCACCAGGCTGATTTTTTTTTTTTTTTTTTTTTTTTTTTTTAACTGCTCCTGGACCACATTATGCATGGTGAGATCTTTGACTTCTTTTTGTGCAATGGGTCATCAGCAGCAGTCTGACCTCTAACAGGGTCACCTGTTAAACTGGCAACTTCCCTAGCAGTACCAGGAATGCACAGCACCAGGATTAGGAATGGTTTCTTATTGAATCTTTTTAATAGAAATGGATTTCTGATTCAACAGTAGACTTTTGGAAAAACACATTTTCATTAAGTCTCTCAATTTTAGGACTGTCAGTAAATTGAAAGAGAACTTTTCATATTAAGTTTTAACATTTGCTTCTGTCAACTTTTAATAGAAACAAAAACAATTGCCTAACCAGCTCTGTGGGGAGTAAGTTCAAGTAAGATCAGATCCTCTGTTGCTGTAAATTGCCATAGTACAATGACTAGTACCGGCTCAGCAGTTGTCCTTTAGACTTTGTTCAGCTATTATTTCTTCCTAATATTATTATAATACCCTGGACATGGCTTCTTTATTCTGAAGTTACTATTCCACCTTAAGTGGAAGTCTGCAGCGGCTTTACAAACAGATTGATGGTTGCCTGTTTTTTCTGTAGCTTTCTGCATGTATTGCTGCATCCTTTTGGGAAATATTTTATTTTCTCCAGTAACACATGGTGAATGCAGCAGTTGTGTTGCTATCAGGCATCGCCAAAGAACACCAAGCATCATTTTTTTTTTTTTCCTGCCTCTTCCAAAATCAAAAAAGTCTGGGCACCATTTCTTCTTATGCTGTTTAACACTTTCTTCTGGCCTGCATTTTTACCATATAATGACTATTGGCCTGTATAATAACCCATTTGCCATCTCACTTGTGTGAGAAAATTTCAGTACATTTGGAAACCTATCTTCTGCTTTTTTTTTTTTTTTTAAATAAGACAAAAGAGACAGCAATTAGGTCAGTTCTTAATTGTAAAGGCCTTTCCTTGGGTTAAGGGAATGGATCCAGGCTAGGAGAGGAGTGCATGCTCATTACTATTGTTGTGTTTCAGAGACACCAGAAAACCTACAGTCTCACTTTCTGCAGTCGGTAAGTACCATTCATGTTACAGGCATAACACTTACCTGCAGTTTCTTATTCACCTGCTACTCTACTCCTGTAGCAGTCTTTCTGTTTATTGGGCAGAGTTACTTAGATGGGTCTTTCCAGAGAAAGCTGTTTAATACAGACAAAGTATGTAAAATATGAAAATAAGAGGTCTCAGATTGCATCCTACCACTTTCCAGAGATAGATTAGTCATGGGGTGGGGCGGGGTAGGGGTATGATGGGCCATGAATATAGGAAAAGAAGCAGGAAAGGAGCAGTAGTAGTGGCTCGGCAAGAAGGCCCTGACTAACTGGTCTGCATTCACTTAGCAGGTGCCTGCTGAGGTAGAGGAAGGTCTGCAGGTGTTCACTGCTTTTATGCATTGGAGGAGTAGCTTGCCAATCACCCTTGACAGTGTTGTTGGAGTGCTGCCAACTGACCAACCCTGCCTTCTTACTGAGAGGAGGATTGGCTATAATTATATGCAGTATTATGCTTTCTGGACACACATTAAACTTACTGGGAAACTGAAATGATGACATGCATGTCTTTTTTTTCTGGGCCACAATTTCCTGTCTCTGGTATGATCTGTCAGTATCTCCTTCAGGAAGGGTACTTCTAGCTCTGTTAGTCTCCATCCACCATGCTTAATGTAACCTACTGTGTCTGTCTCTGAATGTTACTGCACATGTACAGTACACATGATACTGTAAACATGTGAGCAAATTAAAAACATTATTTTGGGGTTACTGCTCCTTCTGCCATGTTAATCCCCTTGGCATGTATGTGTTCCCCTTTGAGCATCCCTTTCAAACTACATCCCTGCAGTGGCCTTATCCTCAGACCATTAATCTTCTATAGTGGTATGTACCTCTTGAACCAGAGTAGCATCCTGTGTTTACACCTCTGGTGCTGGAGCGTAGAGATATTGAAGGGTTGTTTTCTAGTATGTTTCAAAGGGGCTTCACAATGATCAGAGAAAGGAGAAAAGGATCTGATACAGTTCTGTACAGTTTTTCTAAGCATCTGAAACTTTCACAACTGAACACACTTTTTCAGTTGCATAGATTTTTGTTTTGTTTTCTTAACTGGTAGTACCCCTTCTTTGTAAGATCCCAATCTCTCTATGGATAAAGGGAAAAGAGGGGACCCACAAGAAAAGGTCTAGTTTTCATCATGTTTGACCCTATTTATGCTTTTTCTAGGGTTTGTAGGGAGCAAACCATTTTCACTAGGGCTGTACATTTAATCTCTGACACGTGTGATTAACATGTTAATCGTACACATGGCTTTGGAGCCCACGCACGGACTCTGCTCTGCTGCCATCACTGCCACCTACAGGCTGCCCAGCAGGGCAGCAGTGGCAATGCAGAGGAGCTGCAGGGCAACCGGTGCACCTGGGCTCCAGGTGGCTGCAGCAAGGGAGAGGGGCATGTGCATGCACAGAAAAACACACACGAGCAGCCACAGGCAACATGCAACCAGAAAGACAACCTGCTGGTGTGTAGAGCAGCACCCTGCAGGTAAGTCTGTGGAAGGAAGGGGGGAGGGGCAGATTGAAGCCCCCATGGTGATGGAGGGAGTGGGGCAAGGGCTGGGATGAATGGGCCTCGGGGCTGGGGTGGGTTGTGAAAATGGAGGCTCATCCATGGGTGTGGTGAGGGGCACTCTCTGCTGCTGCTGCACCTACCCCTGGGGGAGGCAAGGGGAGTACATACCCCCTATGGTTTTCTGCTCAGGGCGGAGGTATGCTGCCCATTGTGGTCTGGGACTCTACACCCTGCTGCCTTTGCCCTGGGAGCTGTGCTGCCTGCACCACACATCCCCTGCCTGGCCAGTTGCAGGAGGCACAACATCGTGTTAAGCAACTCCCAGGCAAAGGCAGCAAGGCACAGAGCCCCAGCCCACAGTGGTCAGCCTGCTTTTGCTTTACCCACAAATCCAGGAGGCATGTGCCCCCCTATTCCTTTACTAGGGGGTGCATGCAGTGGCAGGGAGCTGTACCCGCCCCTGTCCTGTTCCCTCCCTGACTGGGGGCCTCAATCTGCCCTCTGCCCCTTCTCTTCCCCATGCCCCTTCCCTCCACAGACTTACCTGCTGGGCAGAGTGTGTGTGTGTGTGTGTGTGTGTGTGCGCGCGCATTTATCCCTCATTCCTGACCCATAGTACTCTGCATCCTGCCAGGGTGTTTATGGACCCCTCCACACCAAGCTCCAAGCCCCACCCACACACACCCAGAGCCCCCCCCACGTTCACATGCATGCATGCGCACACACACCATGCACCCACCTGATCCATAAAAAGTATCTGCATAATTTTGAGTTCATAGCTGTGTGATTTAAAGTTGTGATCAAGTGCAACTAATTTCTTTAATTGTGCAACTAATTGTGATCATTTTTTAATCATTTGGTAGCCCTAGTTTTCACCCTTCAAGCAAGGAGTTTATAAGGTGGTGCTAGATCACCAGCATTGTCTCCTGCAACAGCTTGCTTTCTACAGCTGACACATCCTCTGTGTCCTTTCTATAGCTGTGAACATCTGCTGCACAGCAGGTTTTGTGATCAACACTAAGAAAGACAGTGTAATAAGATGCATCTGGTATTCCAGTCCATTTTCAAAATGTCATCTCCATCCTCCCTTAATCTGTCAGTTTGAGGCCTAGGAGCTCAAGTCATTGCTTGAGCCTTTTATCCCAGTCAAACCCTAAGCCAGAGTCAAGGGTACTCCAGTGCATTTCCTAGCAATGCAGTCTTTCAGAATCAAGAAGTTGATCGGTGAAGCCAGCACTTAAATCCATGTCAACCCCAACTCGCACTCTTCTCCTTAAACATGTTTGGACTCCCCAGAACCCCATCTCCACAAGCAACTCCTATTTTCTTCCACTGAAGAAGTGTCTGCATTGCACGCATCCAGTTCATTGGTTACAATTCAAATGTTCAGCATTCACCACAGCCATAAGAAGACCAATTATATGATTCTTAACCATCAGTAATGAAGTTCAATCTCTAGGGTATGCTACCAGTACAGGACAGAGTGTGGGAATTAGGTTTAATCTCGATGTACCAAGCTGAGAGAGAGTTGAAGTTGAGAGATGCAGAAGCTGCAATTCTGGGATAGACCGTAGCTTCCTCTCCTGAGCTGATCGATTTTGAGCATTTCCATCAGCAGGTTTGACTAGTGGCTGGAAGTTAAAACTCAATGCCACAGCTAAGTCTCCTCCCCTTCTTCCCCCCACCCCAACATAGCAATGTTTTAACTTAGTTTGTTCCCTGCTCATGCAATGCCTCACCATCATCATTTTTCATGCTGACTTCTGTGATGCATCGCCTGTCAGTTGTATTTTCTGTGCCAACACAAAACATCACAAATAATCTGAGATGCTGCACTACTGCCATGCATTTGGTGGCAGCCTTCTGTCTTGTAGAAGCTAACTGGACAACAAATAGCTTAAAAGTTGTCTGACCCCTTTTATGTTCTGCTTCTGCTGCAGCTGGAGCTTCCCAGGTCAAATGGAACAAGAAAAATACAAACTGCTTAGCAACCAGCCATGATGGAGATGTTCGTATATGGGACAAACGGGTGAGTTAACTTTCCTCCTTTGATCTCTGTGTACTCCTGCTTCTAGGATCAAGGCATGTCTTTGGGCACAGATAAGTAAGCCACATCTCTTCTTGTTGCTGCTTTGTCTCCCATAACTGTTAATGGTCAGTTGTAAGGTAGATGCAATGCTAGTGACAGTCCAGGAGGTGGAAGTCTGAGAGAAAAATGTGTAATTGCTTTTAGGAAGAGGGAAAACCATACTCTTTAGTATGTTGCTTATGGTTTTGTGATGGATGCCACTAGTGTCATATATAAAATGCCTCTACTCCCTGTGAAGTGAGGTTTGAATACATATTTTAACCACTTCATTGAATCATATAGAAAAGCAGGGCAGGAAGGGTATTCAGGAGGTCAGCTGGATGAGTGTCCATCTGACCTGCTCTTCAACTTTGTGATCAACTCTCTTCTACAAATATCAGCACAATGCTCAAAACATCAAAACCACTGTAGCTTGCCCCAGGTAAAGCAGGGGGACACGGACACTAACTATCTCGCCACTGCAAGAAAAGGAAGTAGCTCTTAGATATGCTCAGTAGATTCAGAGAAGAGGATCATGCCTCCTGCTACAGAAGACAAAACGTACCATGCGAATCTGACTGTGGGGTAAAATTCCATCCTGATCCTAAGTGCAGCCATCAGTCATAACACGTGTAGTGGAGCAAGTTCCTTTAGCCAAGGACTTTAGGGGTTTTTGGTCTTGGCATAACCCCCTTAAAATCTCCAGGCTTGTTCTGAGGACCATGCGAGGTGGGGGAAGGAATCCCTGATACACTTAGCAACAGGCAGGGAAAAAATCCTTCGTGGCTCCATATAACAACTGACAAAGACCAGAAGTAAGAGAGAGCCAAATATTGACCACTGCACTGCAATCTGGGGACAGCAGAAACCATTCCATACATCTCATGCCCTGACAGGATGACAAAGGGAGAGTTCTGGCTCTCCAGTCTCTTCTGGAGTAAGTTTTACAGCTCATTTAATCTTTCATGTCCAAACCTGTTAGGGAACTCTACTTCATTTTCCTGCTGTTGAGCATGGTCCCCTCTAATTTTAACAATTTCTCAATAACCCTTTTTTCTCTTGCCTGCCCATTTATTGCTGCTCAACATTCCTCTAGCTCAGGACGTCTAAAGAGTTAAAAGTGAAGAGCACTCCCTCCTCCATGGTCAAAATCAGGCCAGAATCCTTATTCCTAAGAACAAATATGTTGAAAAGAAAATGTAATCTTCCTCTTCTTGCAGAAACCCAGCACTGCAGTTGAGTACTTGGCAGCACATCTTTATAAAATCCATGGCCTAGACTGGCATCCAGACAATGAGTATACCCTGGCTACCTCTAGCCAGGACAACTCTGTCAGGGTAAGTGTGTGATGTTGTGTTTCCAGGCTTCCTGCTTTGAAAGGCTGTTACAGTAGGTTTAACAGTGATGTTCAGAAAGTCTGATGCACCTTCTGCAGAAGTGACAGGCAGTCTTTTCATTGACACGCATAAGAACTGGAGCAGGGCTTAAGAGCATTACCTGTAATGGTGAGCCTTCTGCCAGTCTGTGTGCATATTGTCTCTGAAGGCATGTCTCCACTACAAATTAAGGTGTGATTGTAGTGAAGGCAAACATGCCTGTGCTAGCTATATTCTAACTAGCACAGCTGACAAAAGCAAAGAAAGTATGGCACCTCAAGCTTCAGGCTGGACTGGCAGCTCAAGCATATAATCATGTTCCCCTGTGAATGTATTTGGATTGCTGGTTTGTCCATGCTGCCCTGTTTTATTGCCATTCTTGCTTCTGATAGCTAAATTAAAACTTAACACCTGTATGCCTACCCATACTACAGTTGCATCTCCATCTTTCTGCGCATGCATACTTTGAGTAGCTTTTTGGGTCTAAAAATGCTGTCAAATGCTGACAACCTGATATCCCACCTTTTGGGACAAGCTCTTAATTTTATGGTGTTTATAACTATCCTGTAGGGCATCCTAGAGTTTGTCTGGGGTGGGAGTGAGCTGCATGGAAAAAAGCCTAGAGTATAAAGCTGACTTAGCTTGTCTTTTGCTTTGTTGAAGTTCTGGGATTACCGTCAGCCTCGGAAATACCTCAATATCCTCTCCTGCCAGGTTCCAGTCTGGAAGGCAAGATACACGGTAAATATGAAATACCAGTCTTCTTGCCTAACTGTGTGTGAGAAGAGAACTTAAAAAGAATCCTAACTGAAAGGACTGTCATTTGGAACCATTCTCACTGCCTTGCTGCTGGATATTACTTATGTAACTTTAAAACATGACCTACAGCACAAAGTATTGGGACTTGGAAAGAGTTTTTGGTGACAAAGGCTGTGGGGTAGTGGTGACTAATAAAGTCAAGCTTCAAGTCTTCTGTGCAGTCCCCCAGCAAAACTCCACAGGTAGATCTTTTTTTTTTTTAAGGAAATTTTTTTGTGTTCCAAGCCAAATCAGCCAAATCAGTTCCAAATCTGTGAGTCATTCAAGAACCATATGTGGCCCCTACTACTGGCAAACATCCAGAGTACCCATTGCTACCAGGCATGAGGAAGTAACTGATACTGCATCTGCCAGTAAAAGAACTTAAATATTTCAGCAAGTATATTTTAATATTTGACCTGCCTTATAGGCTTAATTAAGTAATGGTACCAAGTGCTTCAGATCAATATAAATGCAAATTATTATTTATATTACAGTAATGCTAAAGG